AACTGTGATGAATGCTACCACACTTGCGTGTTTAACTACCATACCTATAGCAACGATCGGGGTCATGGAATAACTAAGCTTATATACGAATGGCCTTAAAGATTTGAGGTATGCTCATTTACTGTTACGCTGTTAAATCTGATATGAAAGATTCGCGCTCTCTGAGTGCGATTCGCAGTTGCTGCGATCATGTGCGTGTGTAATCGAATGCGCTTATTGCATCGATAGTGTGTGCGCTGTGGGAGCGTATGGAGTGGGCGGCAATCGGTTATGTGTGGTCGATCGGTGCGTGTGCTCGGCATAGATTTCCTGTCGGCGTCGTTAAGTAATGTCGATTGAAAAGGGCAGGGTGTGGCGTGCGGCTGAGACGGTCGTAGGTGATGCATGACGTAAGAATTGTATTTAAGCATGATTACATGTTCAGATATCACTCGTGTGGCTCATCTTCCTGGAGGCGACATCGCTGCGACGATTCGCGCGAATCCCAAGCTATGCTAATGTTGGGTGCGAATGGACGCTGCAGCGGTTGAGTCGACGATTGCGACTGGCCATAGTAGGGGAAATTACCTTCGGCCGTTTTTCTCGTTATCGATGAGGCGGCAGCTGACAGAAGGGTGCATGTAACTGAGGATATAAAATATTACTTCGCTCTCAGCATCGCGCGACGATTCCCCGAATCCCAGCTATGCTAATGTATGGGCGAATGGCGCTGCAACGTTGGTCGACGTTGACTGGCAATAGAATTTCCTTCGGCCGTTTTTATACGTTTCGACTGAAGCCGGGCAGGCTGAATAATGCAGGAACAAGAGAAATATCATCGATCAAACTTTTCCGAACTTTTTTTAGGCGTATAGATGAAAAGTCTACAAAATCAAAAAACTCTTCGGCAGTTTACGGGTTAAGCAATACAGGGTCAAGATGGTATACGTAGTGTCTTTCATTTTAGATACAGTGTAAACAAACGTTTATTACTTTAGATACAGTATTGACATTAAATGAAGTAGGTCTCATTTGCACACCCTCCCAATTTCCCAAAAAATTCAATTGTAGATGCCAATTGGCATCAGGATATTTTCTTTTAGTTCTTAAGGCGTCTTCCATTTGCCTTAAAAGGACAACATTTAATTTCTCATTTAAATGGCACATTATAACCATAAAATACATCCAATGTTGTGATATGTTTACTTTGACGAGTCCTTATTTTAAGTTACAATGAGCCTAAATTTGTTCGATACCTCCCATGCACGATGCTTTGCAAATGAGGGCTACTACCTTTATATGAAAAGGGGATTCCAGTCCTTCTTTTTTATCTCAGACATCAGTAATTTTCCCTACTGCGCAAAGTTCATTTCGCACACATTTGTATTCTGTCGGGCAGAGTTCCCAATTACCCTCTTCTAAGCAACGCGTGAGAGCACATAGCTTGTTGTCTTTTCCAGACTCGTCCTCGATTTCTCTTGTCTTCAGCGCTTTGGACGTAGCAACTTCGGCAATAAACCTTACATAGTTGTCACCAATGCTTTCCTCGTCTTCGGTCTGTTTCACCAGCCTTGACAGAGCATCTGCAACCATCTATTTTCCAGAAATATGTTTCACTGTGAAATCATATGGTTGTAGTCTCAACACCCAATGTTCAATTCTCGCTGAAGGTTTGGATCGCGATGAATAGATATACAATAACGGTTTATGGTTTGTTGCAATCGAAAAGTGTATACCATAGAGATAGGCGTGGAATCTTTCACAGGCCCAAACTATTCCTAGCGCCTCTTTCTCTGTCTGCGATTAACGACGTTCTATTCTAGTCAAGCTCCGACTTGCGTAACAAATCACACCCTTCGTGTTATTTTGATTTTGAACCAACATGGCCCCTAGTCCAACTGAACTAGTATCAACGACTATTTTCGTCTCTGCTTCTTTCACAAAGTGCGCTAACTTGTCCGCGTTACTCAGCTCATCTTTGAGCGTTTGAAAAGCAATGTCCTGCTCTTGGCCCCATTCAAACGCTTCTTCTTGTCTCGTCATTCTTCTGAGCGGTTCAGCGATAGTAGACAGGTTTGGGATAAAGCGAGCACTGAGGTTTACAAGTCCCATAAAAGTCCAACAAGTCCTGACTTCAGATGCTGATTGCGGTATTCTCGCCCCTGCCACGGCTCTAACCCTATCTTTGGTCGGTGCGATGCCAAATTACCACTTATGATATAACCCATTTATTCCAGCTCATGTAATCGAATAATACACTTTTCCATGTGCACTGTCAGGCCATTCTTTACAAGCGTCTCGATCACACGTATTAAACGTGCATCGTGCTCTGCGTCTCCGTCTCCATGGACAATTAGGTCATCCGATATGTTCTCCACACCCTCACAGTCAGCTAACACCTGATGCACAATATGCTGAAACAGTTCTGGTGCGGAGGAAATTCCGAACATTAATCTTCTATAGCGGAATATACCAAGATGACACGCAAATGTTGTGATAACACGTGACTGTTCCTCTAACTCGATCTGGTGAAAACCAGCACGCAGGTCAATTTTACTGAACACGGTACTGCCGTTCATCCTGTGAAGGACTTCGTCTACCGTCGGAATAGGAGGCCGTTCCCGTATCACCGCAGTATTCGCCTGTCGCATATCAACACAGACTCTGATATTGCCTGATGGCTTCGGGATAATCACCAGGGGTGATATCCATGGTGTCGGTCTCTCTACCTGCTCGATGATGCCATCCTTTAACAGTTCCTGGATTTTCGCCTCTAACTTCTCACGCATAGCGAATGGTATCCGACATTGGCTCTGTGCCACCGGTTTGACATTGGGATCTATGTGAATCTTGGCTTGATAGCCCTTCAGTTTTCCAATTCCATCACAGACTGTCGGGTAGCGCTGTTTGATATCTTCTAGTGTCAGTTTCTCGCTTTGCACAGTGTTGACATTTACGCCTATTTTTAATACACCGAGTTTCTCTGCAGTAGCTTTACTCATCAAAGATCGACCTTTTCCTATAATTACTATGAACTCGGCCTCTGCTGCTCGGTCTCCTACTTCAACAATTGCTGTAAATTTCCCGAGAAAAACTAATGGCATACTTAAACCATATTTCGGGTAATGCGTTCTGAAACACATTTGACACGGTTTTTCTTTAGATATGCCCAGGTGTCAGCGTCGACAACGTTTGCTGTTAATCTGGAGTCTGTACGTATGTAAACACCACCAACATTGGCATCAATCACTGCGTCATTCGATTCACCATGACACAGACTAAATGTATATTCATCGCTACTATCCTCATTAGGTTTGACTTGATAACTCGCTTGTTTCCTATTCTTCTTACTGTACCCTCTAGCTTTCTGGTGCTTCTCCTCCTTCCATTTGCTCGATCTATTTTGTGGTTGTGTCTTACACTTACCAGCGAAGTGTTCAGTTTTACCACACTTGTGACATGTTGCGTTTCGTGCAGGGCAACATAAATCTCTAGCGAAATGTTTTTCGCCACCACAACGGAAACACGATTTACAATTTGCGTTGCCTTTGTAGGCTTTCTTGTGACTCGACGATACGCGTACATACCATTTACATCACCAACACTGTACTTCTGATTCACTGTGCTGGACGCCTCCATTCGCTTTGATTGCTCGTCCACAGCTTCCATTTCTCTAGCAATGTCCAACAGACATTGTAATGTGAGTTCAGCACCCTTTTGGAGCAGCTTTCTTCTTAAGTGTGACGACCTACAAGTGTCTATCACTTCATCGCGGATCTGATCCCACGTATTAGTGTCACTTCCAAAGTCGCAATTTATTGTCTGTTTATCAATCGGGTTACATACTGATCCAACGTTTCGTCACCTTCTTACCTTAGCGAACGAAATGCATGTCTCTCGTACGGCACATTCAGCGTCGGTGTGAAGTATGCGTCTAGCTTCCGTAGTGTATGCTTGTACGCATCATTCTCCTCCCCTTCCTCTGTAGGTATAAAACCTATGTCATCGAGGGTCTCGTAGATCTCCTGCACATCCATGCCAGCGGAGTGAAGTATACTTACACACAACACTTATATATAATATACAGACGTACACACACACACACACACGCGCACGCACACGCGCGCACGCACGCGCGCACGCACGCGCGCACGCACACGCGCACACACACACGCACACACTCACACACACGCACACACACGCACACACACACGCGCGCGCGCGATGGATAGGTATTGTACGTTTTAGATTAATGGAGACAGAGAGATGACAAGTTCGAAACCGACTGGGGAAAATTGTTTTTCGTTTAATTCCCTTTATTACTGTAATTTTTTTCCTTTCGTCTAATTTTGTTTTTGACGCCATTTTGAGCTATTTAAGTAACGGAATAACAGTAGGAACATTAGAAATTACAATAATAAACATATATATTTACATGTGCATTTATATATATATATTTATATATGCGTGCGCGCGTGCGTGTGTACGTGTGTGTGTGTGAGCTTTGCTAATGCAGCCCATTTTCTTCAGGTCACCTATCTTCTCTTTCCTCCTCTTTCAATCTTTTCCTCACTCTCTCTTTCACTTTCTTTCTCCTTCTCCCTGTCTCGCCTCGCTTATACTCACTCACTCTCTCTCTCTCTCTCTCTCTCTCTCTCTCTCTCTCTCTCTCTCTCTCTCTCTCTCTCTCTCTGTGTGTCCTGTCTCTGTCTCTGTCTCTGTCTCTGTCTCTGTCTCTGTCGTCTGTCTCTGTCTCTGTCTCTGTCTCTGTCTCTGTCTCTGTCTCTGTCTCTGTCTCTCTGTCTCTCTGTCTCTCTCTTTCTCTCTCTCTCTCTCTCTCTCTCTATTACTCAATACTCATTCACTCGCATCTTCTCCTTCTCTTGCTTTTTTTCATTCTCTCTCTCTCTCACTTTTTATTTTGATACTTGCATTATTACCGTGTAGAAAAGAAGAACAATCCTCGCTCCCATTGCTTGCATAAATGCAAAACGAATTTACCATTTATCTTTGAGAATAGTTCATGGCTTGCGTTTATTACGTTCAGCCAGAACTTTGGTTCAGCCTAGAATCAGTACACAGTCGTTCGCGAACTGCCGAACTATGTACATATTTCTATTCTTATTTTAGCTTACGCGAACGTACATGGACCGTTTGATAGCGGCCGACTCTGTTTCAAAACCTTGCCGAATATTACCGCTATGTGGCGCCACATACCCAAATTTACAACGTGGATTCGATGTCAATCTCTTTAACTGCATGATAGTTAAACGTATATGCAGCGGACAACCACTGAACAAGCTTAGTTACTGCATGCGTCGCTTTCATTTTATCACGCTGTAACCAATGACTAGTTCGTATAAATACATTGAGAGCTAGGAGCGTGTCGGAGTATAAGCTAGGCGCGTTTTATCGTGCTTACAGCTGCATTGGCTTCAGACTACTAGACTAATCTGCTAGGTTATTACTCACATGAATTGTGGCTGCACTTATAAATAATCCATCCAGATCGCTGCTCACTTTGCTGGTCAAACGAGATATAAAATGTTTACAATTTATATAGCATTGTTAAAACTACAAGCTAAGACCGCCCGATAAGAATTAAGACATGTCGCATTCCTGATAGAATTAAATTAACTGTTTATGAATGAATAGGATATGATTATGTTAAATGATATCAACATCATTGACTGTTAACATCCAGCCTGTTCTGCTAGCATCTATGACAAATACGACATACGCATATACGCTCTCCCATGACACTATTTGTCATGGGAAGATTGTTCCTATGACAAATATTATTGTATGTGTTGTGCGCACCATAAGAGTTTAGGAGCGCTATTATGAACGCAAGCAGTGAATTTCAGCTGTAAAGCGGAACGAAGTTGACTCGCCAATATTTGTCATAGGAAGAATCTTCCCATGACAAATAGTGTCATGGGAGAGCGTATATGCGTATGTCGTATTTGTCATAGATGCTAGCAGAACATGTTGCAACATCAGAACGGAATTTCATAATAGCTGTCTGTCTATATATGCATTTTTAAGTATCGTCCTTTGGTTATGGTTACGCAAACCCGTTGGTAGCAACTACGGAATGTCCCGCATCGATGCCAAAGTGGACAACGTGAAAACATGAGTATTCTGCCGATTGATATCAAACGTGAAATATCAGCGAAATCGAGTCGGGAGTTTTTCTGATTACTGTGGACGCTCCATGAATATTTCTTCTCGCACTGAGGACGAAAGTTCATAATAGGTTGTGCAAATGCGAATCGTGAACAGAGAGTTCTAAATCCTAAGCTGGTGATGTCTATAAGACGTGTACCACATAAGGAACCTCTTTAGTAATAGTATCGCTAACTTTCTTCGTTGCGTAGATATCAAGACTGTTGTTCTTGCAGCAACCTTAAGCTACAGTCAAGTGAGAACGTGCCGATTTCTTGGTAGAGTTAAATGTAAATTTGTAGTTCACCGATTCTTTCTTCCGTTGATAATATCGAGCTTCTATCCACATGAAACCTGATATAATTACTTGCAGTAAATTTGAAACTAAATTTTTCGATGTCATACTATTATGAATCAGTTCTCGCCGTAACCTTAGGAAATGTGACTCATTTTATTTGAATTATCGCGTTTTCGTGTTATTTTCAGATTGCTGCACATGATAAAAGTGAAACGAAACTCGTGTTCCGGACAGAAGTACTGTTATCACTCGATGATGTCAGCCGAGAGCGACTCGACTCGCGGCAGATCCCGGCCGACCAATACCATATCCTGTACAGAACACATGTGCCCGTAGACTATTGTATAATCAGGAGCATAACGAGGTACGGTGCTGGATGATATGGGCAGGTGAAATTATATTCATTATTTCGTTTGCTGAATCGCGTCATTTATCGACAAGGATGTTCCTTTCCGCAGCGTTCTTTTATGTGGAATTGAAACGACGCGTGAGCGCCATGCTCGCTAATACGTCTCTATATTCTATTCTATACTAAGCAGATGAATACCGAGCAGTAGTAGTAGACCCATTCGTCAGACTAACCGTATTTTATCACAAATTTATCATAGTATTTCTTCATCTCCTTGATCATTACTGTTAGTTATATTCGACGATCTTATGCAGACACAACGAATAACTTGTTTCACGCTGTCAGCATGCATATTAGTAGGTGAGGGAGTAGAGGATGGCTTATGCAATTACTCATTATTCGGCAGACTTTTTCTCACATTTCCTCCACATTGAAATACTCCGACAATTCCTGAAAAGCGAAGTGATGTTTGAAAGCGTGTTTTGATCGATTATACAATAACAACTACGACAGCTAATGAGGCTGCATTGTGAAAATTAGTGAAATTAATATCAATTAATAAATAAATGGAAGGCACGAACTACTCGTGGGCGGCCTTGTATGTGAGTGTGATTATATATAATGCACTTAGTGAGATGCATGTCCGTGTTTGAGAGCACACACGCGTGCCTGATAATGTGTCTGTGCGTGCGTTTGCGCAAGCATGCCTCACTGGGTGCGTGGGTGCGTATGTGCGTGGGCGTGCGCATGTATATGCGTTTACTATAGAGCAGAGGAGGGGGTGTGTCTGCGCGTGCCATAATAAGAATAACACACGCACAATCAGATTTTCTTCGGCTTGCGAAGGTAATAATATGACGTCATTAATGCGATTGGGTCTGTAAAGCCGGCACTATAACAAGTTGCTATGCTGTAGCGTCCGGCCCGGCAGACCTAATGTGACCAATTATAAGCTAAGGCGATAATTCGACGTTAACCTATATATTATGTTGTTTTCCACGCCAGTGTCGTACACAGAACTATTGATTTAGGTGCTGGACAAGCCGCGGTTTTACTGAAATATTAAATTCGTGTTATTTTTCCCTTAGTGTTATTATTACTTAACTATTTTTTTTACTGTTATTATTATTTACTACTATTATTATTTATTATTATTTTCATATCTTTTATCTTACACAGTATTTACTCATACAAATCTTACTCATACAGTACGAGAAACAGCAAAAACATGACATGAGCAAAATGATCAAAACAAAATGAACAAAAAAATTGAACAAAGGTGAACAAAAAGCTAAACAAAATTGAACAAACAAAATGGGCAGAGCTCTAATTTACATCTGTACAAAATTATGTATGGGTAATATCAAGAGTGCATAATAGACATCTCTATTATGCACTCTTGGTAATATGTCTAATAAACAGCATTTTATACATATATATATATATATATATATATAGTACATGTATATCTGTTTACATCTGGGGATGGGATGGGGTAGTGGATGGGATGTGTATATGTGGGGATGAGATGGGGTCGGATGCGATGGATCGGATCGGATCCCATGGGATGGCATAGGATGGCATTGGATGGGATAGGATAGAAGAGGATGGGATGGGACGGGATGGGATCTAAAATACCCGGGACGGGTATTAAAGTCTGCTAGTAAGAATAACACACGCACAATCAGATTTTCCTCGGCTTGCGAAGGTAATAATATGACGTCATTAATGCGATTGGGTCTGTAAAGCCGGCACTATAACAAGTTGCTATGCTGTAGCGTCCGGCCCGGCAGACCTAATGTGACCAATTATAAGCTAAGGCGATAATTCGACGTTAACCTATATATTATGTTGTTTTCCCCGCCAGTGTCGTACACAGAACTATTGATTTAGGTGCTGGACAAGCCGCGGTTTTACTGAAATATTAAATTCGTGTTATTTTCTCCCTAGTTACCTAGTACAACACTATAACCATCCTAGAATGCGTTAGTGCTAGTGAAACGTATTGTCAGCGGCATCTTAGCAGGTGCTGATTTAAACCAGTACGACACAACGGTCGATCGCACCCATGCTTATATCGGAGGACTGCTACAATATGCGATGTCGACCTCGCAATAGGTTCTTGGGAGATCAATAATATCGAACGGGTTGCTGGGTGTTCGTAACCTATATGTTTGTGTATATGTTTAGTCTGCATAAGCTACACGGTAACGGACCGGTGC